CGCCTGCTGCCACCACGACCCTGATCTCAATTTCGCACAAACGCTTCTCATGTTCAACTTGCAACAATTGGTGCAGCAGCTGGCGGTATGGCGTAATATCGGGTCCCCCTTTTCCAAGCCCCCACCGCAGACGTGTTTGGCGGCCTGGGTCCATGGCATATCCTCGCATGATGCCCTGACGTCGTCTCGTAGGGTTTCGCGTCGCGTCGGCGCAGCGCGCGGATCCAAGTGTGTATCTGATCAGGGAATTGCCATTCTTCGGCGCGGCCAGGGCTGGCCTGTCACGCCCGCGAGGAAGGGCCCCGGGTGTGCAACCCGAACAGAAGTAGGCTGCGAATATAATCGAGATAGGCCCCTTGGCCAATCTCACTTGTTCTGGCATAGGGGCCAACTGCATCTGCATAGCGATGGGCCCCGCACTCGTCGCACTCCTGCTCGCATGCGCGGGTGGCCCCTCCAAGTCTTCAGCCGCGCGCCCACCGCCTGGGCATGGGAGAGGACGGCTGGGTTTGCTCCTGGGGCGCGCGGGGCAAGCGCGGTAATTGGGCAGCGCCCCTTGGCTGCAGATGCGCAGGACTTGGCCAGCAGCGAGGAAGCTGTTCGCCGAACAGCCCGCGCACCTGGCGAGCGTGGCCCCCCGCGGGGAGTCCTCCCTTGCCGCTGGAGCATCGCCGTCGCCCGGCGCTGTCTCGCCGTGCGCGCGAACTCGCGAAACTCGCTGGTCGCGGGCATGCGCCCCCTCTCCCTTCGGACCCCGGCGGGCCTTGAGCGACGAGCTCCGCCAAAGTCAGCGCCCAAGTGCGCTGCGTGAGCCGCCGGTTGAACAACGATGCAAGGCGCGCCACGGCGCGCGCATCGCACACGAGACCGCAAACGACCGCGAATTTGTCTGCCACGCGAGCTTTCCCCCGCATCAACTCGCTGCATGTCGCGATGATGGCGTCGGCCAGTTGCCGCAGCGCAACCGAACTAATTAGATCGCGACGTCTGAGACGTCATCGACGCGCAGCCTGGCCCCCATGAGCGGGCGCGCTGTTGCGACGGCGCGCGCGGCGCGATTGGTCATCATCGCGGCGGAGAAGCGCGTGCCTGGCCATAACCTCTGCGAGACAAAGAGGGGCGGGTCGAATGGCAACGACGCGGCCTTCTCCTGCCCCAGCACGCTCGGTGCCGCACAACGAAGAAGCTCGAGGTGTAGCACCACGGGCGGGAAATGGGGCCCGGGCGCTGCCTCAACTTATATTTCCCAAGTTGGGCCTCAATGTCGAGCATCGCGAAGCCGCGCTTGACCCCCATCTGGCGGACGAGTTCCGCGCCCAAGGCTTGGGGGGGCGCCTCCTGCAGGTAGGAGTTGCCTGGCCAGGCTGAGCCCCAGTGCCTGGCGCTGGCCGCCGCCCGCGTCTGCGCTGGTGGCCCGCGAATGAGCGGCCGCAGTCTCCCCGACATGGGCGCCGACCCGCCCGCTCGATCTCCCGGCGTCTTCGGGGCGGGCTCGCCCCGCGCCGTCGAAGTCTGGGCCGGCCGCGCAAAAATGGCCGCCGCCACCTCCAACATCAATGGCAACTCTGCTTGGCCCTCGAGCGGAATGCGCTGATCATCGACGGACGTCGCGCAGTGGCCATCGCGCGGGGCGCAGCCCGCGGTCTATCATCAGCATTCACCAGCGGTTGGTTCGTCAGCGGATGCAAATCTGAAGTTCCGAAACGCATTTCTAACGCCACTTATCTCGGGCACCGCTGGCGCCCGCGCCCGCCGCCGCGTGGCCGGCCCCGTGTCCGCGGTGTTCTTTGGGCGGTGCGCGAGTTGATTCCCCGCCGGAATCTCTGCCAGCGGCAACTTGCCTTTCTTCGCAGACTTGCGCAATGTCACGTTTGCATCGGGCTCGGCAGCCCTGGATCTGAATTCGCGCATGGGCGACTGCACGGCGAGCCTCTGGGCTCGCTGCGCAATTTGCTTGGCTGCGCGCCCCGACGAATCAATGGCCGCTGGATGCTTGCGCGCGGGGTTCTCCAGCAACGACGCCCACTCCTGCCGCGGTGGGCCCCCCCCCGAGCGCAGAATGACGCGTGCGCCTTCGGGCGTGTCACCTGCTGCGTCAATGGCTGTCTCGCGGCGCTGCTCGAGCAGATTGGGCCCGCTGCCCCCCGCGACATGACGGCCGCGCCTGGGCCCGCCGCTGCGCCCTCTGATCGCGCGCGTGGACCCGCCGTCGGCGCGCTGCCGCGCGCGCGGGCCCTTCGACGAAAGCTGGCACGGGCGCGCTTGGCCCTGGATGGGGTCAAGGCCGCGACGCTTGGACATGAAATTATCTAACGTCGCGACCCCATCCGCGCGCTTTTCCGACGCTGCGGCAAGCGCGTGGCCTCGAGCCGACATTCCACGGAATCAAACGGCGGGGGTGGGGGCGGGCGTCGCGCAGTTCTGCCCCGCGGCGAACCCAGCGTCGCACCTGCTCTAAAACCAAGCTCCAATTGGAATCGAAAGCGTCGGGGGCGGGCGCGCGGCAACCCCCGGGGCGCTGCGAATCGAACGGGGCGTAATCGCGCGGGCTCGCTGGGGGCGGCGTCGAGTGACGGGTGAAATTCGGTCCTCGACAGCTCTCCCCGGATACCTGTCGTGGCAAAACTTTTGCTCGTCAGCCCGCGGGCCCCCCTCCTCCTCGGGCCAGCAATGGAAGGGCGAGTCATCGGCCTCGCAAGAGGCACTGCCAACGCGCTCGTCGGGCAGAGATGGGGGCCGCGGCGCCTGGCTGGAAATTATCTCCAACCAAACATGTAAACTGGGCTTCGCGGGCCACCGCGGCCTCCTGGCGCATCTCTGCCAGGTAGGCCATCGCGCCGCTAGACTTCGAAGCGGCAACGGGCCCCCCGCGGGGTGTCGGGGCCTGCGGGGCCAAGGAGAGACAGCGACGGGGCGGGCGAGGAGGCGACGCCCCGAGCGATGAGACCCAACGATGAGTTCTTAGCGTGGTTTCCGAGGCACAGAACGGACAGCACTGGCACTTTGGACAAACGCGATGGCTGCCCGGCAGCAAACGAGGTAATCAATTAGCGCGTCGCGACCCTGCTCGTTGGCACATGTGCCCTCAAGGCCAGCGGTTCGACCGTGCAATATCTGAACGAACCGGGTCCTACTTTGCAACTCCGGCTCCGTGACGAAATCTCCGATGATGGCCCGAGGAAATCTGAGCGCTCTTAAAAAGATGCCTCCAATACGTCGGCAGCGAATCTGATTGTGTCCTATCATGGCGATACTCGGGAGAGCATACTTAATGACGAGCGCACAGTTGCACGTGCAACGACATGTAAGACAAATGGGAGAAAACCGTCTGGGCCGACCTGGTCGGCCTCGCGAAGTTGGCCTGCTGCAACTTTGGCCTCCGGACGTACGTGAGCTTGCAAGTGCTGGCGCGCATCGACTCGCCACCCTGGTTCGCCCTGGCCTCCATGGCCTCGGGCACGACCGTGTAGGATGTGCGCGCATGATAATGATGAGTGCGGAGTTGCTGATATCGCGCAACCTTGTCCCAGCCCCTCAATTCAGATTCGTCGTGTACGTGAGCCCCTCTGAAGGCCAAATGCGAATGCTTGCATACTTCTAATGTAAGATATTGCCATACCTTGACACTCGCGAAAAACAGTGCCGTGGCGGAGTCGAGCTATTCGCTGCATGATTCCTGTTAAAGCCAAACCATAATCAAAAAGGAGGCCACCGCCGCCGCCGCCGATGCCGCCGTACCTGCGTCCACTCCCTTGCCCTTGGCTTTAGCCGCTTGGGCCTCAGCCCGCCCACTCCTGGACCCTGGCCTTGAAGGCATTTTTTGTGAGAATTGGCCCCCTGGGAGACCGCAGAAGCACCGTCATTCGTGCGTTTCTTCTTCTGGTCCTTCTCCTCGGGGGGCGCGTCCTCCTTGGCCGTGGTGCCGTTGTTGTTATTGCATTTCTTCTGCGTGCACTCGGTGACATCCTGATGATACCGTGGAGCGTCCTCAACCACTTCTTGATCTCAGATCCCTTGCCCGCAAGGTCCTGGCGAGCACCGACCAAATATTGCTGTAGGTCGGTGAGCGCATGCTTCTCATCTGGTGCGCACGCCATCTCATGCAGCGAAATGACACCCCCTCCTCCCACTCGACTGTGAAGATGGCTGTCGGCTTGGCTGTGCCTACAGCCGAACTGACACCCTCGGGGCGCCAGGGCGTCCGCCGCGGTCTTTTTGAACAGGCTTGCGAGGGTGAAGCTGTGCATGGTGAAAAAACGATTCAATGATGTATAACCGCTGAGATTTGAGCCTGTCTCCAAGAGCGCGCAGAAAGGGGACTGTGACACCAGCGACATTGCCATACTGCGGAAATAGAAAGTCACGCCCTATTCAACATGACAATACGATATAACGCATGGGTCGACAAACGCCTTCCCCGCCAACGCATTATGGCAACACCGCCGTGACTGTTTTCTCCCTGGTCGGATCTGATCGGCACAACACGGGTGATACGGCGCAGTACTGTTTGAGGAAGTGGTTAAGCAATATTGTAGCCTGAACTCACCCACCTAATCTCCGATGGTGATAGCAAGCTGGCGACCCCGAGGTGAGACTCATTGCTGTCGGGTCCATCGCCTTAACTGCGAATATGCCCTCGGGATACCTCTTGACGACAGCACTTCAATCATACATCGGGGAAGTTGCAAGGGCCAGTGGCCCAGGCAGAGGAGAGAACAACAATGGAAAAACTTTCAGGATACGCTATTGTAACTACTCCTGTGGATTCGGGGAAGGCACGATACAGAAGCTGCTCGAGAACGTGTCTGCTCATGTGGCGTACACCGCTGTATGTCTTCTGGACGAGAACACGAGGAGTAGGACGATGAGCAGGAGGGCGAAAAGGGGAGGAGGAGGAGGAGGAGGAGGAGGAGCAGCAGCAGCAGCAACATCCGGAGCACAATATGTGCAGGAGGATAACTTCTGATTCTGGAGCTTCGGACAACCGACGGAGACCTGTCCTGGTGAAGTCGGGGTTGCCGCTGATGAAGCAGTCGCGCGTGTCCTGCGAGGCTCCGCAAAGCAGTGGGCTTGCGCGGCCCCGTGCTGCAGAGCAGCTGTGGACAGCGGGGAGGTACATGGAAGGTCGCAGCTGGGCGGATGTGACGAGGAGGACGTTGAGGGAGGAGCAGGGTGAAGGAAGATGGTGAGGAGGGAGGAAACATGTCAGGACATTCTTTTGCCTGAAGGGAACAAGGGATGATGGTAAATGAAACCGCATGTTTACAAGGTGGGCATACAAAATAAACTGAACAGATGCATGGTAGCCCTCGAGCAGCTACGATATCATAATCAGTGCTTACCAAATAAACGCGATGGCAGATACAGCGCCACTCAAACGCACATACACAACACTCATGCGGCACCACAGCTGGAAGGCGTGGAAGATATTCATTGCGGGAATTCGTCGTATATGGATACTCGCCCATGGCGGCAGGAAAAACATCCAAGATCGCGCCACCCCCATGCTGGCTGCCCTGTCAAGCATCCTTCCGCGGCAGCATCGTGCACAGCTCCCCCCAGAGCCCCCCCCGCCAACTCGAACACCCCCAGCGGTCCCCTAAACTTCCCTGGTGGCGGGGTATGCTGGAGGCCACCTGATATCACACTGGAAGCACTACAACATACTCTATATCAGAAAAAAGAAAGCGGGCGGCGTAGAAAAAAACCTGAAGCAGTAACTGACGTATCGAAAGAAACGGCGGCACGGCGAACCAACGAATTCAAATCAGTTGGAACTCCCCGTAAAAATTTGGCGGCGAATCGTCTTGTGACCAGTGCAGAATTATTCAGGCGGGCTGCGTCTTGCAATCCGTTGAAAAAAAAAAAACTACAACGAACATAACAACACATAATATCTTAGGCGGGCGTGTGACTCTCCCGATAAATATTTCCAATTCTATGAAAAAGGCTGACCGCGTGACGCGGAAGTGCAAAATTTACCCAACAGCGAAGACTGATAGGTTTCTAGTGGGGTCAAAAGAAAGCATCATGACTCCCCAAAGGGGGCTGGGCAGGATCTGGACGGGTGCCGCGGGAATCCGGGGACGCCTTTTTTACTAAAGTAACAAATTTCGTGGTCTTCGAGTTCCCAGAACTCCATTCCTGGGCATGATTTTGAATGCCCGGAGCCAACTGTAAGCCACTTCGTGGTCTTCGAGTTCCCAGAACTCCATTCTGGGGCATGATTTTGAATGCCCGGAGCCAACTGTAGGCCACTTCGTGGTCTTCGAGTTCCCAGAACTCCATTCCTGGGCATGATTTTGAATGCCCGGAGCCAACTGTCAGCCACGTCGTGGTCTTCGAGTTCCTAGACATTCATTCCTGGGCATGATTTTGAATGCCCGGAGCCAACTGTAAACCACTTCGTGGTTTTCGAGTTCCCAGAACTCCATTCCTGGGCATGATTTTGAATGCCGGGAGCCAACTGTAGGCCACTTCGTCGTCTTCGAGTTCCCAGAACTCCATTCCTGGGCATGATTTTAAATGCCCGGAGCCAAGTGTAAGCCACTTCGTGGTCTTCGAATTCCCAGAACGCCATCCTGGGCATGATTCTCAATGCCGGGAGCCAGCTGTAGGACACTTCGTGGTCTTCGAGTTCCCAGAACTCCATGCCCGGAGCCAACTGTAAGCCGTTTCGTGGTTTTCGAATTCCCAGAACTCCATTCTTGGAAATGATTTTGAATGCCCGGAGCCAACTGTAAGCCACTTCGTGGTCTTCGAATTCCCAGAACTCCATTCCTTGGCATGATTTTGAATGCCCGGAGCCAACTGTAAGCCACTTCGTGGTCTTCGAGTTCCCAGAACTCCATTCCTGGGCATGATTTTGAATGCCCGGAGCCAACTGTAAGCCACTTCGTGGTCTTCGAGTTCCCAGAACTCCATTCTAGGGCATGATTTTGAATGCCCGGAGCCAACTGTAGGCCACTTCGTGGTCTTCGAGTTCCCAGAATTCCATTCCTGGGCATGATTTTGAATGCCCAGAGCCAACTGTAAGCCACTTCGTGGTCTTCGAATTCCCTGGGCATGATTTTGAATGCCCGGAGCCAACTGTCAGCCACGTCGTGGTCTTCGAGTTCCTAGACATTCATTCCTGGGCATGATTTTGAATGCCCGGAGCCAACTGTAAGCCACTTCGTGGTCTTCGAGTTCCCAGAATTCCATTCCTGGGCATGATTTTGAATGCCCGGAGCCAACTGTACGCCACTTCGTGGTCTTCGAATCCCAAATTCCATTCCTTGGCATGATTTTGAATGCCCGGAACCAACTGTAAACCACTTCGTGGTCTTCGAGTTCCCAGAACTCTATTCCTGGGCATGATTTTGACTGCCCAGAGCCAACTGTAAGCCACTTCGTGGTCTTCGAGTTCCCAGAACTCCATTCCTGGGCATGATTTTGAATGCCCGGAGCCAACTGTAAACCACTTCGTGGTCTTCGAGTTCCCAGAACTCCTTTCCTGGGCATGATTTTGAATGTCCGGAGCCAACTGTAGACCACTTCGTGGTCTTCGAGTTCCCAGAACTCCATTCTGGGGCATGATTTTGAATGCCCGGAGCCAACTGTAAGCCACTTCGTGGTCTTCGAGTTCCCAGAAATCCATTCTGGGGCATGATTTTGAATGCCCAGAGCCAACTGTAAGCCACTTCGTGGTCTTCGAGTTCCCAGAACTCCATTTCTGGGCATGATTTTGAATGCCCGGAGCCAACTGTAGGCCACTTCGTGGTCTTCGAGTTCCCAGAACTCCATTCCTGGGCATGATTTTGAATGCCCGGAGCCAACTGTAGGCCACTTCGTCGAGGTCTTCGAGTTCCCAGAACTCCATTCCTGGGGCATGATTTTGAATGCCCGGAGCCAACTGTAAGCTACTTCGTGGTCTTCGAGTTCCCAGAACTTTGTTCCTGGGCATGATTTTGAATGCCGTGAGCCAACTGTAAGCCACTTCGTGGTCTTCGAGTTCCCAGAACTTCATTCCCGGGCAACATTTTGAATCCTGAGGCAGGCTGATGCTGAGGCTGAGGCAGGCTGAGGCTGAGGCAGGCTGAGGCTGAGGCCGAGGCTGAAGGCAGACTGAGGCTGAGGCTGAAGCAGGCTGAGGCTGAGGCTGAGGCAGGCTGAGGCTGAGGCTGAGGCAGGCTGATGCTGAGGCAGGCTGAGGCTGAGGCTGAGGCTGATGCAGGCTGAGGCTGAGGCAGGCTGAGGCTGAGGCCGAGGCTGAAGGCAGACTGAGGCTGAGGCTGAAGGCAGGCTGAGGCTGAGGCAGGCTGAGGCTGAGGCTGAGGCAGGCTGAGGCTGCTGAGGCAGGCTGAGGCTGAGGCTGAGGCTGAGGCAGGCTGAGGCTGAGGCAGGCTGAGGCTGAGGCTGAGGCTGAGGCTGAGGCTGAGGCTGAGGCTGAGGCCGAGGCTGAGGCTGAGGCTGAGGCTGAGGCTGAGGCTGAGGCTGAGGCTGCTGAGGCTGAGGCTGAGGCTGAGGCTGAGGCTGAGGCTGAGGCAGGCTGGCTGAGGCAGGCTGAGGCTGAGGCTGAGGCTGCAGGCTGAGGCTGAGGCAGGCTGAGGCTGAGGCTGAAGGCAGCTGAGGCTGAGGCTGGCTGAGGCTGAGGCTGAGGCAGGCTGAGGCTGAGGCTGAGGCTGAGGCTGAGGCTGAGGCTGAGGCTGAGGCTGAGGCTGAGGCTGAGGCTGAGGCTGAGGCTGAGGCTGAGGCTGAGGCTGAGGCAGGCTGAGGCTGAGGCTGAGGCTGAGGCTGAGGCTGAGGCTGAGGCTGAGGCTGAGGCAGGCTGAGGCTGAGGCTGAGGCTGAGGCTGAGGCTGAGGCTGAGGCTGAGGCTGAGGCTGAGGCTGAGGCTGAGGCAGGCTGAGGCTGAGGCTGCTGAGGCTGAGGCTGCAGGCTGAGGCTGAGGCTGCAGGCTGAGGCTGAGGCAGGCTGAGGCTGAGGCCGAGGCTGAAGGCAGACTGAGCTGAGGCTGAAGCAGGCTGAGGCTGAGGCTGAGGCAGGCTGAGGCTGAGGCTGAGGCAGGCTGAGGCTGAGGCAGGCTGAGGCTGAGGCTGAGGCTGATGCAGGCTGAGGCTGAGGCAGGCTGAGGCTGAGGCCGAGGCTGAAGGCAGACTGAGGCTGAGGCTGAAGCAGGCTGAGGCTGAGGCTGAGGCAGGCTGAGGCTGAGGCAGGCTGAGGCTGAGGCTGAGGCAGGCTGAGGCTGAGGCTGTGACTGCGACTGCCGTTGCCACTGCGACTGTCATCGCGAATGCGACTACGACTGCGAGAACAGCAGAATTCTACAACTGGATTCTCATCTGAATCTTAAGGAGAATGCTTCCAGATATGCTCCTACACATCGCTGTTAGGTTGTTTTGCCGGGATAATTTTCAGTTCCCAACCAAACGAAACATTTCAACCCGCCCGCGGGCGCAACCGTAATCGCATCTAGGCAACAACAAAATGGCGGCGGGCTCGCCGGCCAAAATCAGTTCAAAATGGCGGCGGCGGGGGGGGGCGCCCCCCAGTCAGTACTGCAGTGAGCACCGAAGAAACCGTAGTGATCACCTGATCGTCTAAGATCGCGCCACCACCACGACAGCCTCCGACGGAGTGTTTCTTGTTCAATCTGTGGCCTGCAAGGGCCTTGAGCCTTTCCCTGGCGGCAAGGTCTCGTTCCAAATCCATCTCCGATGGTCCTGGTGCCCGATTGCGGCTCCCGGGACGCCGAGATTACGGAAAAACGAGGTGGGCGAAAACGCCACGACGTCTGAGGTATGGGATGCTGGCCGCTCCCCCCAAATGTCCTCCCGCGGCAGCATCGTGCACAGCTCCGTGTTGGGGATCAAATCCGTCGGCACGTCCTTCGTGGAGTGCACGCAGAAGTCCACCTAGAGGGGCAGACAGCGGGGCCGCGCGGCGCGGGTGAGATTCGAGCAAGCCCGGAGCAGTCCCAAACTCAGGGACCTCCAGAAAACCTCCAGAATGGACGGGAATGATTTAGCTCCGAGAGATCCTCACTAGGAAACTGCCCCGAATGTTTTCGACATCTGTGTTTGTGCATCTTGTTTCTGGTGATTTATCACTTCTGCTAATTCAGGGATTGTCAACTACACTGCTCGCGCAATCATCCAACCCTCCCACCCGCAACTAGAAAAAAAAAAAAGGCGGCCGCAAATGCGGTGACTGCTTGGCGCTGGCTGGCGCATCTCTGCGGCCGTGCTGGCGCGCGCAAGTTTTCGCGCAGAGCGGCAAACAATTTTGGCACAACTGATGCCGCAATGGCGCTTGCTGATGGCAACTTCCCAACGCATCTCAAAGGCCGCGTTGACGCGACCGGAATTCCACTGCGGATCGGTGATCCAGGCGAGCGCGATATCATTGTGAAGCCGACAAGAGCGACAAGGATGATGGTAGCAACGCTGGTGGTTGCAACGATAACGATAACGGCGCCGACGCTGGTGACGACGATGCAGATTATGATGTCCATGTGTAGGTGACGGGGGAGGTGGACTCCTGATGGCGGCAACGCCGGCGATTGGCGATGACGATCACGGCGGTGATGCGATGGTACTGGTGTGAAATGTTAGCCAGCGCGGGCTCCAAACATAGCGATATATGCTGCGCAGTCTACGTGCACCTGCCGAACTTGAAATTGTCAACTCCTGTGCTCGCGCAACCACCCCACCCACCCACCCGCAACTTGGTTTACAAAACCCATGCGGCGGCGATGGCGATGTCTGCGTGGCGCTGGCTGGCGCATCGCTGCGTCCGCGCTGGCGCGCGCAAGCTCGCGCGCAAAGCGGCCTGCTAGTATGGCGCGACCGATGCGGCCGTGGTGGCACTGACCGCTGGGGACTTCCCAACACGTCGCGCAGGCCGCGATGACTCGTGGGCATTTCACTGCGAGTCGGTGACTCGAGCGCGCGCGGTATCATGGTGACGTCGACAACGGCAGGCATTAATTTAATAGTAGCAATCCTGGTGACGATGATGACGATGACGACGGCAAGGCCAATGACGGCGCCGATGCTGATCACGCCGATGGCGATGATGGTGTCTACGCGTCGGTGATGAAGTTTGTGGACGGAATTCTACAACCGCGCGCGGCCGACGGGTGCGACTGGGCCACATGGTACGTAGCACCCCGCCGTCGCGGATAAGAGTGAAGGGGCGGCGGGGACGTCGTCAGTCTGCCGCAAGCGCCAAATTCGCACAAGTTATACGACGAGCATCGAGCCCGCCGCAAGCGCCGATCTTTCGTTAAAGCATTTTGGGTGGGTCGCGGAAACGGTCGCTGGTGGGTCGCGGGTGGGTCGCGGGCCGGGTCGCGGGTGGGTCGCGGGTGGGTCGCGGGTGGGTCGCGGGTGGGTCGCGGGCGGGTCGCGGGGTGGGTCGCGGGGTGGGTCGCGGGCGGGTCGCGCGTGGCTCGCGGGGTGGGTCACGGAGGGGTCGCGGGGTGGGTCGCGGGTGGGTCGCGGGCGGGTCGCAGGGTGGGTCGCGGGCCGGGTCGCGGAGGGGACGACGCCAAACGACAACATACAAGCAACAACAGCGCAAGGACAACCTCTCAGGCCACCCCGGCGGGGCCCGTGGTGGTGTCTTCGCCCACGGGGCGAGCGCACTCCCCCATGCCACATGTTGCAGTTGTTGCCCCAGGGGGGCGGAGCAACGCGCAACACCTCTGTCATACGCTGACCTAAATCTATATGTGTTTCCGAAACTCCGTGGGCTCCCTTACTGTTCCCCACGCACTACTGTGTCCGGAAACCGACCGCGCGCCAGCGAGGCCAGCTCCTCCTCCCTATAGGACTCCTGAGGAATTATGCAGGATCCTGTAAGGATCCCATAGGATTACTATAGGGCTCCTATGGAATCCTGTAGGACCCTGTAGGGATCCTATAGGGCCCCCCTCGGATTCCTGTAGGGTTGCTATGGAATCCTGTAAGGATCCTATAGGATTCCTGTAGGAATCCTACGGCATCCTGTAGAGATCCCATAGGCTTCCAATGGCATTACAATCCGATTCCTATGGAATCCTGTAGGACCCTGTAGGGATTCTATGGGATTCCTATTGAGTTCCTATGGCATCCTGTAGGACACTGAAGGGATCCTATAGGGATCCAAAAGGACCCCAATAGGATTTCGATTGGAATCCTGTAGGAACCACTAGAGATCCTATAAGACCCCAATAAGATTCCTATTGGAATCCCATGGAATCCTGTAGGACCCTGTAGGGATCCTACAGGATTCCAATAGGAGTCCCAATAGGATTCCAATGGAATTCTAGACGCTTCGCGTATCCCCACCAGCCCGTCCAGAAACGACGCCCAGGCGAGTAGAGGGTCGTCCTGAGGGGCTTTTCGGCGTCTTGGGTGCCTCGGGGAGGCCTCTGTGGGCCGTTCGGGATCCTCTTTGGGGCCTCCTGGGGGCCTCTTGGGGCCTCTTGAGGCCATCTTGGGGCCTTTGGGGGCCTCCTGGGCGCTTCTTGGGGCCTCCTGGGCGCTTCTTGGGTGCCTTTGGGGGGTCTCTTGGGGCCTCTTGGGGTCTCTTTGGGGCCTCCTGGGGGCCTCTTGGGGGGCCTCGGAGCCATCTTGGAGGAGATCGATCAACGAAGGGGGGTTCCCTAATTACAGTCCCCCCCTCAGGAGCCACGATCCTCGGGAGGGGTGTCGAATTTTAGCCATCCCAGGGGTCGATCTTGGGCGCTCCAACGCGCCGCGGAACCCCCTGTCCAGGTCAGTGGGGAGGGGGTATGGGGGAGGGGTAAGCCCCTCCCTGAAGGGGAAGAAGGAGGGGTGGAAGAGGAAACGCTCTAAACCACCGACGCCCAGAGGGCTGGTGGGATTCCTATGGCATCCTGTAGGACCCTGTAGGGACTTTATGGGATTGCAATGAGATTCCAATCGGATTCCTATGAAATCCTGTAGGACCCTGTAGGGACCCTATGGGTTTCCAATGATATTCCAATAGGGCTCCGATGGAATCCTGTAGGACACTGTAGGGATCCCATAGGAGTCCAATATTATTACGATAGGATTCCGATGGAATCCTGTAGGACCCTGTAGGGACCCTATAGGATTTCCAATCGGATTCCTATAGGGTTCCTCTGGACTCCTGTAGGACCCTGTAGGGACCCTATAGGATTTCCCACCGGATTCCAATCGGACTCCGTGGGATATAGGCTTCCTACAGGATTCCAATTGGTTTCCGATGGAATCCTGTAGGACCCTGCAGGGATCCTAGAAAGGTTTTCTCAAATAATTCCATTAGGAATTTCTTGGAATCCTGTAGGACCCTGTAGGGATCCTATAGGATCCCTACAGGATTCCCATTGGTTTCCTATGCACTCCTGTAGGACCCTGCACGGAGCCCCTAGGATTCCAATAGGAGCCCCATAGGATTCCAATGGAATTCCGATGGAATTCTGTAGGACCCTGTAGGGTCCTTATGTGATTGCAATGAGATTCCAATAGGATTCCCATGGAATCATGTAGGACCCTGTAAGGACCCTATGGGTTTCCAGTGAGATTCCAATCGGATTCCTATGGGATCCTGTAGGACAGTGTAGGGATCCCATCGGATTCCAATAGTATTACACTAGGATTCCTATGGAATCCTGTAGGACCCTGTAGGGACCCTATAGGATTTCCAATCGGATTCCTATAGGGTTCCTCTGGAATCCTGTAGAACCCTGTAGGGACCCTGTAAGATTTCCCATAGGATTCCAATAGGATTCCGATGGATTCCTCTAGGACCCTGTAAGGATCCTATAGGCTACAGGATTCCAGTTGGTTTCCTATGGTATCCTGTAGGACCCTGCAAGGATCCAAAAGGTTTTCTCAAATAATTCCATTCGGAATTTCTTGGAATCCTGTAGGACCCGGTAAGGATCCTATAGGCTACAGGATTCCAGTTGGTTTCCTATGGTATCCTGTAGGACCCTGCACGGATCCTTTAGGTTTCCAACAAGGTTCCTATAGGGTTCCTATGGGATCCTATAGGACCCTGTAGGGATCCCGTAGAATTCCAATAAGCTTCCTATGGAATCCTGTAGGACCCTGTAGGGTCCTTATGGGATTGCAATGAGATTCCAATAGGATTCCAATGGAATCCTGTCGGACCCTGTAGGGACCCCATGGGTTCCCAATGAGATCCCAATAGGGCTCCGATGGAATCCTGTAGGACACTGTAGGGATCTCATATGATTCCAGTAGCATTACAATTGGATTCCTATGGGATCCTGTAGGACCCTGTAGGGACCCTATAGGATCTTCAATCGGCTTCCTATAGGGTTCCGGTGGAATCCTGTAGGACCTTGTACGAACCCTGTAGGATTCCCAATAGGATTCCAATCGGATTCCGATGGAATCCTCTAGGACCCTGTAGGGATCCCATAGGATTCCTACAGGATTCCAAATGGTTTCCGATGGAATCCTGTAGGACCCTGCAGGGATCCTAGAAAGGTTTTCTCCAGGATTCCAATAATATTATCATGGAATCCTGTAGGATCCTGTAGGGATCCTATAGGATTCCTTCAGGATTCGAATTGGTTTCCCATGAACTCCTGTAGGACCCTGCAGGGATCCTATAGGATTCCAACAGGATTCCTATAGGGTTCCTATGGGATCCTATAGGACCCTGTAGGGATCCCGTAGAATTCCAATAAGCTTCCTATGGAATCCTGTAGGGCCCCATAGGAATCCTATAACATTCAAAAAAAATCCTACGGAATCCTTGAGAGGGGTGCGCCAAAATCAAGTTTCGGTGGAGCTCCCTGAGCCACGATCCTCGAGAGGGGTGCGCCGAAATCAAGCCTCGGTGGAGCTCCCACAGGGCCACGATCCGTGAGGGGTGCGCCCTTTGGGGCCTGTATGGGACTCCGCAGCAG